TCAGATAGTCAATGTTTCAGCATTGAATGACTGAATTTTAAATTCATCACATATTTTTCATATTAAAATGAGCTTTAAGATTTGTTTTTAAATATGGGGGGCTTATTTCTTGGGAGTTAAAATGTTTCTGGTTTTATTTCTTGTATTTCAGCATTTCCTGTAAATTTTTATTTCATTGTATTTGTTCAATGCTCCAATGTACTAGTATAGACAATGTGTGGATATGAGCTGTGCTACATATTGTCTCAGAATTTGTAGTCTGAGCTGAATCTAAATTTAACCTTAAATTGCACATAGTCCTGGAATACAGAACTGGGATGAATTTTTTTTTCCCCCTACCATATTACACAGAAGTACTTCAGTAATTTAAACCCAGCAATTCTTATCTTTGTTATTGTCTCGTCTGTTGTCTGAAATCCACATGATTTACCCTTTGCTTACATCAGAGTTCACTAAAAGGCTGTTAAAATATGTCTGAGCATCTGTGGTAAAAAAAAAAAAAGAAAGAAAAATGGCCTACTCTTCTAAGTTCAGTTAACAAAACTGTTCATAAGGGGGTGATATCTTTTTTCTACATTTATTTACTCCATTAATGGTATCATAACCTTCTATAGTAGCTTTCCACAACAAGTATGTTCTGCTCAGCCTAATTCTGGAAGCTTTTTCTGTTAAATTTAGATCACTGTAATGCTTTACTTTTAGTGCCTGTTAGTAAGTGTATATTGCTTCAGGCAAGTTGTTTGTTAGCGTGGTGAGTACTACCATTTCTGTACTGATGACACTACTTTATATTCCAAGATGTTCAAATCTTTGTGATTTCTTGTGGTTTAGATGACACTGAGCCCTTTATTGGTTTTATCTCCCTAAATGCAAGTAACACTGCCCAATGTTAACTCTGCACAAAATCTGTTTCGTGTGTAGGGGGTCAGTCTTCAGGACATAACTGTGTAGAATTCAACTATGCTCTGAGCAATAAAGCAACTCAAGATTTCTATATTCACCAAAGTAAAGTCATAAATATGATCTGGAATCCAGATTTTTTTTCTTTTACTTTAAAAATGGAAAACAAACATTTGAAAAATCTAACTATAAAGCATTTTAATTGTTTATATTTGCATTGTTTTACATATTTTATTTTCTGTAAATTATGGGCAATTCAGGTTGTAGCTTTTCAGTATTTATCCTCTTTTGTTGTAATCCTTTTCTGACCTTCCTTGTTCTCTGTAAAGTATCACCCATGGAAGTACTTCGAAGTGTGAGTATTTTGAAGTAACGATGTGCGTGTCACTTGCCATATTCCCCAAATCAAGACATCTGGGTGATGTTTCTGATGTCAGGCTGAGCGTCATGGTTGGGCAAGGCCAAGGAAGTTGGTTCCTGAAGAGGTGAGATTTAGGAATAGTTTGGAGCAAGCAGCTGTGGCCAGGGGACGAGCAGCTGCCTCCGGGCAGGCCAGCTGTGCGCGGGAGCTCCTGCGGTGTCCGAAAGGCCCGTGGCGAGCAGCCCGGTGCCGTGTCCGGCTGCGTGCACGAGCAAAGGCTGGAAGCGGCGCTCAGTAAGTGGCCAGGGACAGATACGGGCTTCAAATTGCCTTTGGTTTCTCTGCGTTAAGATGTGTTTCTGTGCCAGTTCCCTCAAACTGATCTGCATACACTACGCATGGTCCTGGTGACATTGCTGGGGCTGCTTGAACTCCCGCAACGTGTGACCTACCTGTTCTGAAATGGGAGAACGCAGTTTTAAATCAGGGTGAGTTTTACCACAGAGCTCACCAAGGCAAGGCTGTGTGCAGGCCTAAGGTTTTGTTTCTCTGGTGTGGAAATGTCATTATATGTTATTTTATGAAGCAATTAGACATGTATCAAACCTATTTTCCATTACTACTTTAATTTCCCCTGTGAATATGACAGCTTTTTCTGTGTTTACTGTTACTAATATTGATGTGGTTACTGTCACAAGAGGGAAGTGAAAGGACTATGCGTGAAGCTGCACAAACAGTAGCCTGTTGGGAGGATCGATAGGAATTAATTGATAGTATCCTGCTACTTATAAACAGCTGGACAGAGCTGAAAGATCATTTCAGAGCATCAAGATTGCCTTAAATGTGTGTCGTCAGGATGGCTGAACATTCAGCTTTTTAGACTCTGTCTACTTTGTTTGCATGATGCTTTGAGCTCTAGAGGTTGTTAACTATCAACTATACTGCGATTTTTTAAGCTCCTTTTGGCCAGAGCTTTCCCATTACTGTGTGTCTGAAGCACTTGGCATAGGGAGCCCTGTGAGATGTTTCCCATGACTTTCCCTGACTGGAAGAAAACATTGGTTTCTAGGTGTTGCAACTTATTAATATGCAAGTTCTAAATTATTATTTTGAAAAAATATTTTTAAAATAAAGCTTGAAAGGGGGGATGCCTTTGGTACACGCAGTTCTAGTGGCTGCGTGTAGGTCCTTTAGGCCAAGGTCGGCAGTGCCCGCACACTGGAGCGCTCCTCTGGCCTCGGCTTCTGCACTCTGCAGCCGGCTGGGAAGCACCCACCATGGGTATGATTGAAAGGATGGGATACAGAAGTATGATTTCAGTGCAGTCCTTTTTTTTTTTTTTTTTTTTGGCTTGTGTGCACTGATAAAAACTGATGGAGAATATACACACCTTTAAAATATACTTACAACCTTCTCCTGTACAGGGCTCTTTTGGTTTCTGTAAAATCAGCCCATAATTTAAAGTTCCCACAATAATTTAAATCTCATAAAGGAAACTGCCGATAAAAGAAAACACAGAAGCAAGAGAAAGCCATAAAAATACTTGCCAGCATCCTAATGGCATTTAAACACAATTTAGTATATTTAATTCCCCATGTAATTAATTGCAAAATAACTTGACTCGCAATGGAAATGAGATTTCAGAATTGCAACGAGCTAATTCAGGCATTTAGTTACGAACCCTGCCAAGGGCTGCAAAGTCCATTATGTTTGTTCTAAAAAGGGCACAAATAGAGTAAGTGCCGGTGGGTGAAACATATTTTTCAATACATTTGTAAGCTTAAGCTATTTTTAATGAAATTGCTTTAAAAAAGGATGATTTTAGATTCTTTTATCCTTGCTCACTTCCCGCCCACTTAGTGCTGTGATTTACTCTGCTGCATTTTTTAGCTCAGGTTACGGGTTTCTGACGGGCCCTGGTTAATTTGGCCCTGACGAGCGTGACCCGCGGCGCGGCGCTCCCCCCGCGCGCC